CTGTTTCCTGTCTCAAAGCACAAGAACAAGGGGACATCTGATTAAATTAAAAGCTGGGACACTAAAAACTGACAGGGTGTGATTAGATTGTGGAACTCACTGCCACATGAAGTTGTTGAAGCCAGAAACTTAGCAAGATTTGAAAGGGATTGGACACTTATAGGGCTAGCAAGAATATCCAGAGTTACCATAATTAATTAAAACAAAAGTTGGAAGAGATAGTGCATCTCCTGCTTCAGGGTGTAAACCACTCTCTAACTGTTAGTGATCAGGATGAGGTCTATGTGAAACCCATCTGTCTACCGTAGAGATCTTACACCTTCCTCTGCGGTGTCTGGTGCTGGATGCTTTTAGAGATGGGATACTGAACTAGATGGACCTTGGCTCTGATCCATTCTGGCAATTCCTATGTTTCTATGATCTTGTTCTTAAGCGATTTTCTGTGTTGGGCCTACGGGGTTGACCTGATGCCCACTGAAGTCATTGGACACTGAACCAAGCCCCATGCTACTCAAGGTTGGTAGTTTCTTTTATCCAACCTTCTCTTAGCTGATGGTACCCACCTTCCCCGCCTCAGGTCCTGAGTAGTCTATTTATTACTCAAAGCGATTAATTAGCAGGATAGGGAGGCAGCAAAACATTCTGCCAGCCTGTTGCTAATTAGTGCGGCGTTACAAGGATGGTACAGAGAAAGAGAGACTGTAGGGACAGCTCATTCGCCCACGGTTCTTAATGAAAGCAACACAACCCTTAGTGTTATTTAATTTAATAAGGGAATTAATATCATGATACAAGGCTATCGCCCCTGCTCTTCAGACTGGGGAGAAAATGCCACATTCATCTTACTTTATTCAGAACATCAGCCCACTGAGCAAGCCTCTTGAAGGCTATTTGATTACACAGTAATAGGCGTTTTTTGCCCTGATGGCAGCAGACAGGGGTAGAGGCCTGTGGACCTTTGATAGTAGAACAAATGAAATACTCACATAACCCTTCACCTAGCTCGATCCGCTGATAAAGTCCCCCAGTCTTAATTCGATCTGTAAAGATTAGGCTGGCAATAAAAAGTATTACAAGGCTGACGGCCATGGAGTCTCCCAGGGCATTTGACAAATGGATTTATGACAGTAATAGTAGAATTAGAATGCGACATTGAAATCCACTCCAAGGGCCCCACTCTGCTTATAGGCACTTGCGTTGGCAGGTGGCAAGCCAGACACATGGGGCTGCTCCCCAGAAGTGGCTGCACAGCACTGCCGAGGGAGGTCTTTAACTGGGAACTGGGGTCCGAACGTTAATAAATAGGAGGCTTTATAAAATGCTTGGCTGTCTGTTTGTTTATTTCTTATTGCTCTTATCAGAGTTCGCACAGCTCCCGTGGTCCAACTCTGAGCCACAGCAGTGCTCCACGAAACGAGGGGGTTTTACGACATGCTAAATGGACCTGCTCTTGCGCTGCATATTAGCCTAAGTGATGCTCATTCTCGGATGCCTCTATCATTTGTGCAGGCGTATAACTTGAGAGCATTTACAAAGTAACAATTTGACCACTCTTGAATTATAATATCCAGCAAATAGCTCTATTTACACGCCTCGTGCTGCGTTGCCAGATTAACAAAACCTGCTGTCAGATAGCCCAGAGTAAAAGCGGGAGTCACTTCACAGAAATCCAGGGGACTTCAGCAAGTGCTGACAAGTTAACTTGAGTCAGGGCCTGAGGCCCAGATTCTCCCCTTGAGAGGTAGGCGCCGAAATGCCTTGGAGAATCTGGGCCTTAGTTCCTCTGTAGTTGCAAGTGAAGAGGTGATGCCAAAAATCTTAGTGGTGGGGGGATGGATATTAGGTGTATGTTGCGATGAAATTGGGGATGGCTGGGGGAGGTCCTGAGGAGTTATCGCTGCTATTGATTTAACTCATGCCTTTCTCTACAGACTCTTCAATCACTGTGCTCTAGGTAAGGTTTATATCATGCCTGTCTGGAGGCGAATTTCATCATGAAGGGATTTTTGATGAGTGATTTGCCTGGGCAGAAAATGACAGATACATTCTTTGGGGGTGGGGACCAGCTTTTTTTTCTTTGTACAGCACCTAGCGCCATGGAGTCTTGGTGCATGACTAGCTTCCTAGATGCTACTGTAGTATAGCTAATCAATAATGTACAGCACAGGCGCTGGTTTTTGGTTTTCCCAGTGGGTGCTCCACCCCCGCTCTTCTGCAGGGCCCCGCCCTCTCTGCCTCTTTACGCCCCCACTCCATCCCCTCCCCTTCCTCATTCCCTCCCCCTTCCTCTTTCCACTGTCCCCTGCCCTATCCCCTTCTCTTCTCTCTGCCCCACCCTCCTCCCCCTGCCCGCTGAGCAGGTGATCAGCAGCCAGCCCTGAACCACTGTGGCTGGTGGGTGCTGAGCACCCCTTATTTTTTGTCCATATGTGCTTGAGTCCTGGAGCACCCATGGAGTCGGAGCCTATGATGTACGATGACTAATACAATGCGGGTCTGATCCATGACTAGGGCTCCTAGGGGCTACTGCAATACTAAAACTGATGTTAACACTAACAAACAAAACGTTAAAATACTGCGGGAGGGTACCCTCCAGGCCAGCTGGCCTCAGTAAGGTTTTATAACTCTCTACACACACAAATACCCTGAAGGCTTGTCTACACTCAGTTTTTGCACTGATTTAACTCTTTGATTTTAGCTAAACGGCAGCAACTCCTTAGTGTGGACATACTTACGCTGCTTGAGAAGCATTCCTATCAGCACATTACTGATCCAGTTACCCCAGTGCAAAAACTGGGTGTAGAGCAGCGATAGACTCTCTTACAGGGCTTTAATCTCACACACACACAAATACCCCCCAACCCTTTTACAAGGGCTTTATCATACCCAAATATAAATACACCCACAGACACAGACTGCCTTACCAGGGCTTTATCCTACAGAGATGGTCTTACAAGGACTTTATTCTACACCCACACATACACAAAGATGTTCTTACAAAGCCCTTCTCCTACACACATACAAATACACACAGATCCTTTCACAAGAGCATTCTCCTTCCTATTTATAACACATTCATTCCACTGTCAACAAGCTGCTTTAGCCCACAGCTGAAGATCAAGAAATATGTAACCAACTCCCGCTTCACCTGTTAAAAAGGTGGAAGAAGTTGGTCCTGGAGGTGGCATCACTCCTTCTCTAACCTGGTTTCCAGTCTGTGGGTGTTGCTTTGCCCATTAGTGGGTGGGTGAGGGGAGAGGTTGCTGGGCTGCATTAATTATTGTAAGTGGAGCAAGAATCCCTTTTGACCTTTCTGCCACACTAGGTACAATTGAGTTAGCTTTGAGTTTTGATTTAATTCCAGGAATGGGGTTGTAATTCGCTTACAGCAGAACCATTTTCCTGCAGGGCTGCAGTAGGGCTGGGTTGGTGGCATGGGTGATACACACTTCCAGGAAGGCCTTCGAGTGCTCATTTCCTTAGGGACACCACAAATGAGGCATTTTGAAATCCGTTAGTTCTGTGCATTGGGCAACTTCAGCTAATCTTATTTATGGTTTAAAAGCACAAGGCCTGCTCCTGCTTCTGTTGGAGTCAATCGGAGCTCTGCATTTGGCTTCAGTGGAAGCCAGATTAAGCTCACAGACACACACCCACATAAACACTTGCACACACACACGTATTCTCATACACACATACAAACAGACAAATGCATGCACACGCGCATCCTCATATAAACGTAAGCTCACAGATACCCACCCACACATACACACATGTTCATAGATACAGACACATTCCACGCAAACACACACAAACCCATTCACACAAACACAGGCACACACACAAGATAATACACTTCTCCTAAGCAAGAAAAGAATTCTGCACAACACAATCTTTGTTCTGCAATTGGCAAAGATCTTGCTGTTATTTCAGATCATAGCTTTTTTTTTCTCATAATAGGTTTCTTTAAATTAACATTTCCTTTGCAAACAGAGACTCTTCTATTTTAAAAAAACAAATTGCAGACAGAGTCAAGCTTTGAAATTTCTAAGGCAAGAAAATGTCATCTTCAATTTGCCTGTTTACCTCCTAAAGTTTGTTGATGGAAAGATCAAATGGATAAAGTTCTAACCATTATTAAATATTTATCAGTTAATTACAATATGGAGATTTAGTTGCTGGGTAATTCATCTTGGGGGTGGGATACAATAAAATACACTTGAAAGTTGTGTTATCATAATTGCCTGAGGCCATGGGAACAACCGTCCTGCAATGTGTTTTACATTTATCTGCTCTGCTACATTTTCATTTTTTTGTGCAAAGCTACCTCTGATTGTTTTCGGGAGACTCAAACCTGTACAGGCTCTATTGTTGTTACCCTGTTTGGTTTTAGGGCATGGCAAAGCCCATATGCTCACAATGTCTCCAAACAATTCCAGCAAGACTTTACATTTCAACTTAAAAAATGAACCACGACTTGTCCAGCTCCTGCCCTGAACTCTGTGTGGCAGAAAGTGGATCTGCACACTGCTTTTCTTACTAAAAGAGGAGACCCATTGTGGGTGCCCCGCTGAAAATCTCAGACTAAATGTACCTTTCTACAAATGCCTGCAAAGCAGAGGAGAGAACCTTCCGTCCTGAGGAATGGGTGAGTTTCAAGGGAAGGCAGGGGCCATTATAAAAAAGTGCACAAGCAGGCAGGGCTCCGGAGCTGCATACTAACTGGGAGATGAAAAGGTCTGGGGGCCTACTGAAGTAAGTGCTGTCTCAGTGATTAATGGGGGTGAGAGAAGGGTGAAGCCCAACCCCTAGTAAACTACAAGATGGCAAAGTGATTTTAAGAACAACAGAACAGTGTTCCTGGAGAAAACCAACCCAGACGAGCCAAGAAAATCGCCCAGCACTGTTTTTAAAAGGCCTCTTTATTTTGAATACCACAACAATACAGTAAACTATGCCAAGAGCCAACTGATCTCTCTTAAAAAGAAAAAAAAATGTGTAAATTACAGTGAGAAGCTAACTTATTGCAGGGTCAAATTTTGAGTGGGTTCAAACATGTTTACATCTACATTTGCTTATCAAACAATAACCCACTGGCTAATAGAAGTGCCGCAGCTATGTTCTTTCCAGGTAGGGGGAATGTGAGGGGTTAAAGGAAAAACCACCCTCATGAGAAAATCTCTGGCTGCCTAATTTGCAGAGGATGGGAGCTCAACCCTTTCTGAAAATCAGACTCCTTTTAAGATACGCCCCCCAGAAAGTGAGGTAGATAAAATCAAGAGTTGTTTTTCAAAAAATGTTGCCCTAGGCTTGGAGGAAGTTTAAGGATTGTAAGGATATTTAAAGGGTAGCTATTGACACCTTTGTACCCGACAAAGTCACTGGTAAGCAGCTGAGTAAAATCAACTTTAATAAAATACATGGAGCGAGTTATAAGCTCACACAGAACTTGTCCTGTTATTGGCTGGGTTATATGCACACACCAGTTCCTAGATGCCTTATGCACAGATCTCTGTACAATTTAATAAGCAGGAGGTAATTGGGAATAGAGGGGGTGAGGAAATCAAAGGATACTGTTGGTTACACTTAGAGGTTTTTTCTATTTTGTTTTGGTTTTTGTTTTTTAATGACATAATAGGACTGTAGCAATTTTCCCAGCTTGGTTTCCGTGGCAGAGAGCCCTCACAGATGCACAAGAACTGCAGTTCCGGAGAACTTCCCTGAAGTGCAGGATGTGTGTTTAAGTCTGTTTAAGTGAGATGGGGGTTACAGGGCCCCAAGGTAGCACTGGCTGGGAATTTGAGCAGCACAGCTGTGGTCCAAGTTTATAGCGTAGCTGTGGCTGAAGAGTGAGCTGGCCCCAGGCATGTTTTCCAGGTAATTTTCTCACTCCAGCTCCTTTGCAGATTAGGGGGATTCGTAATGACACTTCCCTTGCAGAGACAGAGGAGGATCCAACTTCCAGGACAGCTGCACAAGGGCTGTCAGAGACGGGCTGTCAACCCGCACATCTCCTTGGGCCTTGATGTAGGACTGGCGCCTGGGCACATCCTACCCACCCAGCTGCTAGGGGACAGGTTCTCAGTTCCCTCTCTTCTGTTGTCCTTCATCCTTCGAATCTGGAACCAGAGCTTGAGGTTGAGCAGCTGAGCCAATCTCACGCTCCACTGTCAGCAGGGATACCTGATAACATGGAATTCTTTCTCCAGCTGGGCATTGGTATAAAGCGTGCTGGCCTCAGCAGGGACCTAGAAAATAAAAGGCCACACCATCTCATCCGCTCCTGCCCTTGCAGCAGCCTCCCCTCCCCCCCGCCCATCCCACACACCGTACAACATCTGAACTTTGAAGCAGTTGACAGTAACATAACTGCAAGCAATAAACTGGCTGCAATCATTTGAAATGTCCCGTTAGTGGATAGACAATATCCAAACTCAGCTAAAAGTCTGGATTTTTAACAAGCTCCAATAGAACCTGTGCAGACAATTTCAAAGTGTTGTTATTACCCAAAGTTGTGATATATGCTGGTTTTCTTTCTTTCTTTCTTTCTTTCTTTCTTTCTTTCTTTCTTTCTAATTTAATCTCTCTCGGTCTAGGTAACTTTACATCAATCTTTTTATCCATGTCATTTTACATATATCTTTCTTTCTTTCTTTCTCTCTTTTCATATGTCTGCCTAGGTAATTTTATATCCATCCATCCTACCATCCCCTCTACCCCTCCATCCATCCTTCTCTCTCTGTCTGTTTTGTTGGTCTCTCAATGAACAAATAAACAAAGTTGCATCAGAATGCAATGGACAAGAAATTAGGACAAGAAAGTATGCAGAATTTATGATTATTGGATTAAAATTCGTTTCTAGCACCGGGCATTGTTTTCATAACCTTGTGAGAACAAACATCAACCACGCAGGGCAAAATTCTCTGGAGTAAGTCATGAGTATTTATACAGTTGTTTAAAATTCTATCAAAGGGCTATTGGTGACCACTCATTTGGAGTTGCTAAGAAACCCATTGCCTCTACAATGCACACACTGTAAAAAGAAAGCTTTATTGGGATCAGATGGAACATACCTGCAGGAAGTAGTTGTGTTTTTTTTGCTTGGAGTTGTGTCCTGTTTGGGGGTGAGCTCTGCTGGTACCATCATTGTTCGGATTGGACATTGGTCCAGAAAGCTTCTGCTCTGAATGCCTTTTTGGGGAGGCCACATGGAATGGCTGATGAGACAACTGGAACCTTGAGGGCTAGTTGTGAGATATGATCATCCATGTGCCCCAGAGTCCTGTTGAAGCCCTGCAAGGCAAGTCTGTGGCTTGTTGACAAAGTTGTGGATGTTTCTGGCTTCAGGCAGCAGTGAGGCTGGTGTCCCTTTAGAGATGGGAGAGGCTGCTGACTGACACCCCATGCTAATGGGACCTTAGGAAAGACAGCCTCCAAAAGTCTATGGTCTTGGGCAGCTTTTTGCATCTCCAGTTTCTTCTCGCTGCTGGGGTGGGGAAGAAAGGGGACTGGATATCTTTAACTCAATACAGGAGAGGGACTCAGTGGATCACAGTCATGGGCAGATCTCCAATGGCTTCTTCTGAGGAAGATTCCACCAGAGTTAGAACTCAAGAGCAAACGTTCTAAACCAACATACCCAGGTCACTTAAGAACATCTCTCATCAGCCATCCTGCGCATAAAGGGCCCAAACCTGCTGATAAAAAATAAAATTAATTTAAATTTCAAAAAAACAGCCTACAATAACTTGAGGATCCAACCAATGATGTCCTCTGGCTTTGCACCTTTTTGATCACCTCCATGATTGCTGGGGTGTGTGTGTGTGTGTGTGTGAGAGAGAGAGAGAGAGAGAGAGAGAGAAGCCTTGCCCTGGGGACAGCAGATCTTAAATCTTGTTTAACACACAACAGATTATCTCGGGTGCTTAGGTGGCATGATGGAGGCAGCCATGGTGCAATGTAGGTCTTTATTTGAAATAAGCTATTGATGCATGTGCTGGGTGTAATGGCTTGTTTCATGTAAACATCATAACGTTTGCTGAAGAAATGCTTGGCCCCTGGTCAGTGCAATGTGTGTTTATAATCGCATCTTTATTTTTAGTAGTTTATGGAGATTAACCGTAGACGTTTTCCAGTGTCTTCCCCTGTCCTCGCTCCTCTTAGGGCAAAGTCCGGGAGTTTTGCAGTCGGGAGCTCTTGTTTAAAGCCCAACGATTTTCTTTGGGAAGAGACAAGCAAGGACTATTGGCAAAACCATTAGCTTATACAGGCAATGACAGGCATACAAAAGAGCCCTGGAAGATAAATCGAAATTAGCAACTACAAGGAATAATTATAATTATAATTGTTGTTGTCTCGGAGTCTCATTAAAGGCGTTTCAAAGACACCTCCTGTTCTAACCTCAGTTGCAAGCCCCATCCCGGAAAGGGCAGGAGATGGACGGGTGTGGTCCCTGCCACTCTCCCATAGCTCAGCAGCGCGGGTAGAATCCTGGCGCTAAAGAGGCCAAGGAAAGTTTTGCCATTGACTTCATCGGGGCCATGATTTCTCTGCCTTCGCGGCATCTCGGTTGTAACTTTGGAGGAGACCCTCCGCTAAAGTACATGTGTCCCAGCCAGTGATCGACCCCTTCCATCGTTAACTGTGTGCCTAGAACAGACCAACCAATCTCAACTAACAAAGCAGCCCGGATGGTAAAATCAACCGAGAGAGGCTGTTTGGGTTATTTATGACTGGAAATCCCCCACAAATCTCGTTTGTTTTAAATGGATCAGACGTTTAGTGTCAGATCTCTGTATGACGGGGGAAGAGGCTGTAGTTAAAATGCCAGATACAATTACAAACAAGTTGATTGGGGCTGCTAAGGATGCGGATTCTAGCTATTCCCTCTCTCTCTCTCTCTCTCTCTCTCTCTCTCTCTCTCTTCTCTCTCTTTTCACGGTCCTGCAAACTTTCCTGAACATACACCACACCTTTTCAATGTTGCCAGTTTAATTTGCCCCTTGTTTCAGAAAGGAACAGGATAAAGATCTTCTGTTTTTCTCTCCCTTGTATGGTGGAAGACTTCCAAAGGATCAGAAATATCGCTCTCTCTCTCTCTCTCTCTCTCTCTCTCTCTCTCTCTCTCTCTCTCACGCTCTCTCATATGTCCCGAGAGAAAATGTCTATGCCCAGGTTGAGTGGAAAGAACACGTGGGATTGCTGTCCTGTTTACAAAGCGATCTCACTCTGTTCAGCATTTTGCACCCCAGCCCCCACCACAAAGTGGACTGGGAAATGTATCCGGTGTGTAACTTTTCCTTCTTTCCACCCAGCAAAAGTTCAAGACGAAAGTCTCTCTGGTCTGTTTGTTTGCATGTGATGTAATATCACTTGCTGATGCTGCTTGAGTACTGTGCACCTATATACAGGCGGTGTCCCCCTATATATATATCAAAGTCTTAAATACGGCGGGAGTGTTGTATAGAAACATAAGCGCAAAAACAAAATCCCGCAAAGTAAAGAATGGCTGAAGTCAGGCCAAATTCTGCCCTCACGTATACAGGCAGAAATAGGCCCCGGACTAGATGAGGAGGGGCTCGAACCTAGGCAGGGTCTAGTGTTTCAATTCGTAGGAAAGTCAGGGGGAGTCGAAAGCACTCAGGCCTTTGCAGGACGAAGCCTTAGGAACACTCACCTGGGCGCAAATTTAAATTGCGCTGCGAAGTATCTAGCGTGCTAGGCAGGGGGATGTAATGAGCCCTTAGATTTTTGACTGAGCCACGACTAAACTGAAAGCAAACTCCAATAAATAAATAAAAATTAATCAACATCAACCATTAACTAGGTCAGCCCTACAGAAATGGCAAGTGTGTGCGGTGTGGAAATCCGATAGCCTTCAGATGGGGGTATTTAAAGGGGGAAATAAAAGTGGGGGAGGGGGGCGGTGGATTGGCTGGGAGAATAGCCAGAGTAGTGAGTGCAGTTCAGATTACCCATTCAAAAGACATCCCAGTCGCATCTAAACGATTCCGGATTTGTAAGGACCCTGTGTTTATTGAAAACATATTTACACTGCAGCATATCCTTGTGATTCCTCGGCTTCTGGTATATTTCATTAGCTGCTTAAAGTTTCATTTAAATCCGGCTGATTTACACGACACTGAGCTAAATTTAGTCTTTGAGCCCTGGGGTGTAAATCTGTTGAAGTCACTGGAGTTACACTAGCGATGAATTTGACCTAGCAACTCTCTGTCTTTCTCTTCAGACACCATCAGTTAAAACATACTAAATTAATGTGTTTTATTGTGATTTGTTTATTTAATTATCTACCTCCAGACTAGCTATACAGTTTAAGGAACTGATCAATGTATCCACCACCATTATGGATTCCTTACAAATTTATTATTAGGAATATTTGCATTTCTGGTGTTTGCACTATGGAGAGTTTAACTAAACCGTCTCTGGCTGGATAATTGTTAAAGAAACATAGCTCATTCACTTTTTTTAATCCCGGGTTAAAACATGTCTACTTTAAGAAAAATCATTCCGTTTTGATTCTATTACATTATATTTAACTCTATTTTTCAAGACTCCTATCTGAGCTTGTTTTGAAGACAGGGCAGTCCAAAGGTAAGAGATAGGCATGAATTATTTATCAGAAGTGAATATAATTATGGTTTGGGTCAAAGTAAGGGATTAATTTAACAGATGAAAAAAGTCAAGTTGAGCATCAAATATTTTAAAAATAAATCCTGAAAATTAATTTCTGTAGAAATCCAGATTCAACCTCTTTGCTAAAGATTTAGCTGAGGCAAATTAAAAATATTGAAATCGCGTTAATGCTTCATTATTTTTTCCAGTAATAAAACTTCACCTGAATAGGACTGATGTTATCAATAAGCAGGAGAAGTTAGCCTAGTCTGGGTTGTTCATTTATATATCATTGAAAATATTTCTATCACCTTTCTAGTGATTCTTCCACAGCTTTGACAGATTAAGCCAGTCACTAAAAACGTTTTAGAAAAGTACAAACATATAAAATTGCTTCCAAATGGCTTTGAGTAAAATGAAGATATATATGATATATAGTGTATATCTAGCCTTTCTGCATAGTCTCTGACTATATATATACATACAACCAGGCATATACATCTGGATATATAGAGATATATACAGTCTCTACCCCATACATACCTCTGTATATAGCCTGTGATTATATGCACACACAAAACATACACAAAAGCACACATACACATCTAGATATATGGACATAAACATACATAATCTATGCTAGGTATATAAAACTTTATATGTAGTCTATGATTATAAATAAACACAATCATACAAGTTCACTCACATATATCTAGATATAGAGACATAAATATATGTGATCTATATTATATATAGCTGCTATGTGTGTATACACCCAAATACATCTAGATACATAAGAGTCATACATATATATAGTCTATACTATATATAATTTCTCTCTATACACACACAACACCCATACCCATCTAGATATACAGAGACAGATGAAGGGGATAGTTAGAAATACCAAACAGTTCATGCACCTGGCTGGCTCTATTTTTAAACGTTTTTAGATAAAGCCCCTCATTTCCTTGAAGCATAAATTAAGAAAAAGCGATTAGCTCTCTATAAAATTTGCATCTTATTAGTATTACCACAAGGGTTATTTTACAGGCAAATGTTCAAAGTACAAACAAATTTCGATATAGAAAAATAACGTTTCCACTGCAAATATCAAGGGGGGTGGGTGGTAGAAAGAGGTGCTTTATAAAAGGGGATTGGGTGTCCCTTTGTTCCCTCCCCTCTTTTTGGTGTGTGTGGGGGATAAGGAGCATTGGAAGGCAGGTCACGTTGTGTAATCTATGGTTGATGTGTCTGCAGGAGTTTAAGACCTCGATGCATTTAATAAATTATTTTACTTGTTTTAAACCAAGGGGGAGGGGGAGAAGGAAGAAGAGTGGATTTGCTGTTGTTGTTAACTGATAGTAATTCCTCTGAAATAAAGAGATACAGGGCTCTCAGGCTCATCACACCCAGATTAACCGCACTAACCCCCATCACAGTCCAGATTAGTAACAATTCCTCCTCCACCCCCCCCCCCCAAAGGGTTGGAAATCTCATTCTCACACAGACATGATGCCATAACTTCTACAGTGAGTGTGTGTGTGTGTGTGTGTGTGTGTGCATCTAAAAGCAGTAAGAGCCTTTTGTCTAAAGAAAAGGAGTACTTGTGGCACCTTAGAGACTAACCAATTTATTTGAGCATGAGCTTTCGTGAGCCACAGATGAAGTGAGCTGTGGCTCACGAAAGCTCATGCTCAAATAAATTGGTTAGTCTCTAAGGTGCCACAAGTACTCCTTTTCTTTTTGCGAATACAGACTAACACGGCTGTTCCTCTGAAACCAGCCTTTTGTCTGAACATCATTGCAAAGCCAACACGACCTGCATGGGAAGTCTGCTACTTTTGATTGGGCACAGATCCCAATTTAAAAAAAAAAAAAAAAGAAAAGAAAGATATGTGCGGGTATTCTTCTTCTTTTTAAAGTTGGGCTCTGTCACAGGTTCAGACTTCCCATGCAGATCGTGTTGGCTTTGCAATGATATTCAGGCAAACACATAATGGTGTATAACACACACACACGCAAAACACTCCAGTCTCATTCTCAGTTATAAACCATTTTACAC